AAAAAGAAAAAGCCCAGTTGCCATACAATCGTTGTGTGGACCACCAGGCTGTGAGTAATGCTGATTTCATCCACGTATGTTTTGACAAAACATCTTGTATTTAGTTGCTTGTGCGTCAGAGGGATGTTTTACACAGATAATCATCCTCCTCTTTGTTAAAAGGTAAAGTGAGTAACTTTTAGAAAGGTCGGTATAACAGTACAGTAAAAAAGATACAACTTGACTTCAGTATGCACATTACGTTACAGGTCGCCATCTTGTATTGACAAGAAGGCTTGTTTGACTTATTGACACGACTGGCTGAGTCTCATTACTGCAAAATATATTTATATTTTTTTAAAAACTACAGTGTTTAAAATAATGAAATAATCTGAATATATTTTGGTTAAAAGTTTTAGTAAGTAATAATAACACAATCTGTTGTTCACACTGGTCAGCATTTAACATCAGTATCTGAGCAGAGAGCAGTCTCGTAATAAACGTACAAGTGTAGTTTTGCACTAACAAGAGTTTAGTTGAATAAATATTCCATAACAGGGTCATACTCTTACCCTGATATGGTGCAAGTACCTATGAGGCAACTGGGGTTCACCAGGAACAGGAATATCCTAAGTATCTTTCCGGTGAACTTTTGATTAACCTGTGTAATTATTCAAGTGTTGATCAATGTAAGCATAACCATATGTAACGGAGTGTGTCTGCCGAGTAGCATTCCTCCGTGAAGGTAATGTCCTGTACGGCCCTCAAGAAAGCTGTTGGAGCCAATGGCAGATGCTCTGAACGGACGCTGCGTTTGAGATGTAAATGAAAGACGACGCCAAATCCATCACACAGATTGAGGGGAAAAAAGTGATGATAAATTTAATATAAACTCCCTAATTGTCAGTTTTCACAATGAAATGACACCATCAATGATTAATAAGAATGTAGTTCTTTTCATCCATTTTATGGCTCACCATGAATCATCACTGCAGGGATAAAGCCCCAGGAAATTGACTTTTAAAAATGGTTAAAGCCTGAATTTTTAAAAAAAATCATAACCAGGTTGTTCTAAGAACAGGATGTTCACATGTCGTTCCTGCATTGTTTTAAAGTGACTCCTCAGTACGAACCCCTCCAAGGTAAACACAATAAAAACACATGCTGTGGTGACTTTAAAATACTGACTAATCAATGACTGTTGCTGGGGATTTTTTATTTTTTTGCAATCTTCCTGAGAATTCTTTGTGATGTGTTTGTTTGTTTCTGTGTTATTTTAAACCGCGAAGATCAACTAACTGTTTGGTTTGTTTTCTCTGACTAAATGAAATGTATGTGCATGCTAATTAATTCAGTCTGGCCAATGGTTCTCATAGCTGATGTCACACATGCATGAATAATGGAGAAAAAGTGTAAAAAGGGACACATTTACAGTAATCAGTCTTGTCTGCTTTGTCTGTTTTGTGATGCAAATGTTGTAAAATTTAGTTTTCCCATGAAGATGGGCCGGGGGAGATTCAGCCTCACTCACCAACAACACTGCTAATGTGTTATCTTTTGAATGGTAATCAGTGGTCTCCACAAACAGTGTCTGAGACAGGTATGTACATATGTAAACCACAGCATCAGAGGAATGTTCCTCCTCTGATCTCCTGTGCATTTCTCTTTCCCCCCAGCAATGGAGCAGGGATAATGGAGCATGGTTGCACGCCCGTAATTGGCTTTTCATTGGGAATATCTAACATCAAGTCTTGTCATGTCTAAACCGTGTCCGCCATAAAAAGAGACTGAGATAGAAAGTGAAACACAAAGTTTGTGTCAGAAGCTGATAAACATTTCAGTTAAATCATAATTACCTGTAATTTTTTTCAGTATTAAATGCATTTACCATACTTTATAACAATATTATTATTGATAATAATAGATTTTAAAGTTCAGCTGTTAATAAATTTGATAATAAACTATTATATTGCTATCATTATCATTTCCAACTCAGCATATAAAACGTTTCTGTTGCCATTGTTTTTGTATGTAAGTTGTATCTATATTCAATAGACAGAAACATATCTGTAGTGTATTTATGCAGTTAAAAAATTATTAGTTTTTGTTTTTTTTTAATACTGCTGTTCTTGCTATAATAATAATAATAAAAATAATAATGATAATATTAATAATGTTTTATCTATAGGCGGAGTTTGCGGGGGCACTGCCTCCTCATTGGCTGAAATATGTCACGCTATTGAGTCTATTATATGGCCAATAAAAATATTTTTGAAAAATGTATTAATATTTTAAATATGTAAATGAAACAAAAGGATTGTATGAAATAAATAAAAATGAATCGTTTCATATTTTATTTCGTAATAAATTCATTTTTGGGTAGTCATGTGACGTTGTGACGTTGACGGTTTCCCTCTTACTTTAGCATTCAACCGTTCGTTCATTAATAGGATAGCTATCACGAAATAGGTCCTACCAAAAATGGATATTCGGTGGGTTTTAAAACGTATATCTTCAACTACAGCAGTTAAACAAGAGCCGCCTGGGCCTACATGTCATCTGGACCAGGAAACACCCGAGACCAGCTCTGAAATAGCGAGTCCAGCTAACTCCACATCGCACTTAGCACCGGGGCCGCCATTGGGCCAATTAGCTAGCTTGCTAAAGCAGCCCGCTCTTTCGGAAATTCCTACAAAAATAATTGGTAAGGCAAAACGATGATTAACTTTGTGGCGTTTACTTCTGCACTAGGTAAGACACGTTATTTAACATGTGTAGACCTATACTGTATTTACAGCAATACTATAACAACATCTTCTAATTGTGATAACAGAGTTGAACTTTATAGTTGTCTGTATATGTGTAATAGCCTATGTCACATAAAAGTTATAATGCAGAGAGGTGTGGACAGTAAAGCGATAACTTCATGACAATAAGCACTTTGAATCTTTAATCTAGTGCCCTGACGTTAAAATGTTTGCCCTCCCCGACGCAAAAGTTAAGCTCCGCCTGTGTTATTACTCCTGGGCATCATGTTTAGTGTGCTGAAGCCTTGGCAATCGACCACCCAGCAGAGCAGCAGTGTCCTGCGGGCCCAGAAGAAGCCAGGGGGCCTTGAACCTGACCCCGAATGACCATCCAGGGCGAGTCTGTCACTTTACATTCCCGCTGGCACTTTGTTTCCACCGCTGCTGTTCAATGGTGTGTGGGGCAGATAGATAGATAGTGTGGCCGTCCATCCAATGAACACCTCTCCAGCTCCCCCACCCCCGATCCCCGCTGCGCTCCCGGTTTTGACACAGGAGACAAAACCCGCGGCGAGGCGCATGAATGGTGGAGCACCGAGGAGGCCGAGGCAGAGCAAAAAGGAGGCGGTGAGCCTTTGTAGTCGGGGAGGAATGCGGAAATGTCCCCGCTCCGTGTCAAACCTCTCTGAAGGGGGTCAGGCCACATTCAGCCGGCGTGGGAAAGCCAGGCAGAGACGGAGCTCACACACAGGCGAGCGGGGCCGCACTTGCATAGCCTGTCCGGGGATATATGGAGAGGGAGGAGGAGGAGGAGGAGGAGGAGGAAAAAGAAGAAAGAAGGGAGAGAATCCAAGGAGGAGCGTGGTTTTTGTAGAGCTATATCACGCGTTTGCTTTTGTCCTGTGATCCTCCCTCAAATCCCCTTCTCCTCCAACCACGCACACAAAGTTGTAGTGAGAGTGTGTGGTAGTACAGCCCCCATCCCACCGTTAACAAGACCAGGGTACACTGCTCAGTTTTGGGGGTGGATTAGTCACCTCTTCACACAGTATTTATGTATTTATTTATTCGTTTATTTATCTGTGCATTTATTTATTTATTTAATTATTTAACCTTCATTTTTTTCCCCATTGTTGTGATAATTGAATATTCCCAGTATTATAAACGTATACTATTAAATATGAGGATAAGTACAAAAATACAAAAAAAAAATGTATTCCTATTAGGTTAAAAAGCTGTTTTCAATAAAGACCTACAATTTTGGTAGAATTCTGTTTTATCACTAGATCACTGCATCATGGGGTTGAAATTGAGTGCCTCATTTTTGCCTGAAAACAAAAACATTTGAATCTTTGAGCATGTTTTTATTCAAGTTTGGTTAAAAATACCTTGTTCACTATTATTTCAAAATAGTTTATTTTAAACACTGAAACAATAACAATGTTGACCTTCGACCTTAAATGACAGTGCACTTTTCCAATTTGGAACTCTGAAATTTCTGACTTTGCAGCCAAACGACATTCGGCCGCATTAGACAATCACCAGTGTAATTTATAGAATAGGTACAGATTAAAAAAAAAACATCTTGCAGTCAGAACAACGGCAGCCATTTTTGTTTACATCTGGGGCTAGGCTGCTGTGGTAGGAATTACAACTTGAGGGGAAAATTTGATTTGTACATTTTCAAGTTGGACCTGGGAGGTATTTGGTGGAAACTACTGCTACTGCTTGTTAATTTTGTAATTAATTAATTTTTTATGTTAATTTTGAAGTACATACATTGAAAGTACATTAACATGATCGTGGTTTTCAATACTCTTCTGCGTTCTTCTTTGCAGTTCTGGTGTTAAAGGAAAAAGTTTACCTTAAATCTATACCTGGTCACTATTTTCTGACGTTAGAGGGGGCAGGCAAAGCATTTGGTGGTGCATTGCCCACTTCTTTACCACGGTCACGCCCCCATCACCACCTCCTCTTGCTTCTCCTCCCCTTGTTTGAGAGTTTCTGCTTGGGCTGCTGCTGCTGCTGTCTGAGGAATGGGGGGTTAGAAGAGTCTGCTGCTGCAGTCCAACTACCTGTGTGGCCCCCGCATGGAGGAGGAGGACAGTGGACACAGGGATGCGTGTGACGCAGGGGGGACAGCTTATCTTTACATCCACGGACGTGTATGAACGCTTCCTCAGCAATTTTCTCGGACATGCCGACGTCACAGCGTTTATTGACAACATAAGAAAAGGTAAACACTGAGGGGTAAAAGGTGCGTTTGTGTGGTGGGACACATGCGTTGGTTTCACGTGTGGCATGGTGACAGTGGGTTTATTGATTTATTGTGAAGTCACAAATGCGCAAAGCCTTGTGATTTCTCCGTTTTGCCTCTAATTGGGCTATGAGGCAAAGTCGCTCAATTAAAATTAATATAAATTAAAGGAAGGCGCCGGAGCGGGAGAAAACACGATTAAAACTCGACTTTTAAACAGTTGTGTGTGTTTTATGACTTTCAGGGCTGCAGTGGAAAGTTTTAGAGGCGTTTAAATGGACTGTTGCTGTAGGAAGTTGGAACAATGCAATCAGTAGACAGCCACGTGCTCGCCAAGTTTGTGTCGCCTCAAACATAAACTGTGATACAACAGCAACAGTGTGCGCTGTGGGAGTATTTATTCTCAACTCGAGGACGGAGAGTTATTTTTCTCGCATATTTGAGCAGAATGTGTGTGAAATGTCCTTTTCCCAGATTTAAGACAGCCCACAGAAACAACCCAGAAACGCTGCACGTGCAGCGGACATCTGAGTGTGCAGGGCAGCCGGGTTTACTTAAGGTTCACATTAACGACAAAGTCGTTTTACGTGTTGTTTTTAATTAATATATTTCACATTAGGATACTGTTACTGATACTGGTGTTAGAGGGTAGGAGGACATGACTTGCTGTGCGTAACAGGAGGAGGAGTGGACGTTGGCTGGGACGCACCGCTGCCCTGGTGTTTTGATAGTCGGAATAAAACATGACAGTGTTGTTGTTGCTGCCTACCTGGAGCACATACTTTTTAACACAATTGACAAAGATGGCCTTTGCTTCCATCTGTGTCTCCCTGTCATCTAGGCATGGCATCTGCCAACTTTTTTCTCTGAATATGCCTTTGTGAGTCTCTGGCTTCGTCACCCTCGCCGGGATTCCCCGCAATATTTTTCAACAAGAGACGAGAAGGAGAAAAATCTGCAAAAATGGACAGAGATAGTAGTCACGCTCAATATGAGCAGGTGGCCGAGATTGGAGAAGGAGCCTACGGGAAAGTGTACAAGGCGAGGGATCTGAAGAACGGGGGACGCTTTGTTGCCCTAAAAAGAGTTCGTGTCCTGACGGAGGAAGAGGGTATGCCTCTATCAACCATTCGGGAGGTGGCGGTACTGAGGCAGCTTGAAGCCTTCGAGCACCCCAATGTCGTCAGGTATGTAAACTGTGAGTGTGTGTGTGTTTGTGACCACAACAATGGTGCCTTAAATTACCTTACAATAGTTGACACACTTTACTAACACTGCATTTTCTGTGACAAACTGTGTGGTGCACAAAGACAGTGACCGTAGGTGCACACCTGTCAAACCATTGTCTTTTTATCAAATCATTGTTGAAAAGAGGGTGAAAAAACTATCAATGCTTTAGGTTAGTCAATCATTTGAAATAAAACTGCATCTAAATTAATTTAAAATGTAAAGAATGTGACAACACAGAGAGATTTAGTGTTTAGCATAATTTAATATAAATCATACATTTACACATAATGCCTTTATATGTCTGCATTTTATAAACATGTTATTAATGCACAAATGCTTTTTAAAAAGTGTGTTTAAATGTAGCCATAAAAATCCCTGCTTGTGGGTGTCTGGATTTAGAGCACATTTCTGGCCAGATGATGTTAGAATGCATCATGTCTGTGAACTTTCCATCCAGAGATTCCCTTTTTAATAATTTGGCTATCATATGACCAACTGAACTTGCACTGCTTTTTTCTCATGACCTTTGAAGGTTAAATTGGAAAGTAAAATAAACAGTTATTCATATTAAATAAGACTTACAGTACAATGAACCCTTTCAATTATTGTCTGTTTTACATGAATTGTATAAATATATTAACCCTTCACAATATCCCATAGATGTTAACATATGTTTTTTTAAGTATTAAAACGGACATCTTTACATTTTTCTTGGTTAAACAAATCTGACCCACCTCTACTTAACGCAACGTTTCATTAAGTGTGGTACAACCAGTTTGACACATCACAGATATAATTTTTCGTGCTTGTGCAGGGCTACTTACTTAATAACTAACTCAGAAGTTATTAAGTGTTAAGCTAATAACCTAACACACAGCTCTGTTTTCATAGTTTCTGTTTTTACTGCTCTGCACACAGAGACGATTTTCTTTCACTTTTGTGATGAATTGTTCATTTAGAGGTCAGTAGTCAGAAACTGCGTCATACCCTGACACCAGCCAAGGTCCGACCTTGGTTTTTGTTTAATTGTGGAATATTGAGTGCTCTGGGATTGAAAAGAAAGTTCTGAGTAGATGTTTGAGAAGCTGTACAAGCACCCCCTCGTGTCGCTAACAATAATTCACTTGAATACAAATAATAACCAGATATGAGTTATGATGAGTTAAGTACTCACAATGTCGTCAGCAAACACCAAATTGACCGTAGATCTATTTTGTTTAATGGTAAAGTTTTGGTCACAACTCTGCAAAAGTTCTGGTAGAATTTGTGCTATGATTTGTTGCGAACTAAGGACAAACCGTCAAGTTCTTTGAACTGTCAGTTACCCCCGTTATCCTCCAGTTCAGGCCCCGCAAAGGCTGCATCGTGGGCTTTATGTGTGACTCCAGGCTACCCTGAGTGTTTATCATGCGGCCTATTATTCATTCCATATGTTTGGTGTCTGCTGAGAGCCTACATTGTCGCCCAACAATTGAGCATCGAGGGTCGTTTAACCTCAAAGCTCCACCAGGAGGGCACCATTTTAGTCTGTGACATCATGCTCCGCGCTAATGTCTCGAACTAATCGACTCTCATGCACTCCGCTGACTGTAGAATCCACTGATCACCAGTGTGTTGCTATGGACACATGGTGTCCCGTTGGTAAGGAAAGATGTAGTTGTTGAGTGATATTTACTAGGTACATAGATTATCCCAATAATATGAATTGTGATTAGTATCAACTAGTCTAAAATGAATCACACTTTATGATGTTGATATTTCAGTCATTGTTATTAAGTCTTGTACAGAGGACTAGGCCACTAGAAAAGACAGAAAACAAGAATGCAGTTCATTCTCTAACTCAGATGTGTCACAGCTCCACACTGACCGCGAACGACCCCACAAAATCAATTGTATTGATCCCCACCTGTCCTTATGTTCCAGGTTGTTTGATGTGTGTACTGTCTCTCGGACTGACCGAGAAACCAGACTCACTTTGGTGTTTGAGCATGTGGATCAGGATCTGACCACCTACCTGGAGAAGGTCCCTGAGCCCGGGGTACCACCCGAGACCATTAAGGTAAATAAATGTTGTTTTAAAACACTGGATGTTTGAGTTCAAACTCTAACAACTGGTATTTAAAAATGCAGTGCATGACTGTGCACTTCACCTCACATTGGCCTTCCTGGGGTACGGCCTCGTAGCAACACACTAACTACTTATTTGATGCCTTTATAGTGCTTTTTATTTAGTGAGGTGAGGTTTATTAGTAGGTTCACAATCATTCAGGTTGGAACTAGAAATATCTGCGAAACCTTTTGAATCTTTCCAATCCAATTTCAGGGTCAGATCTAGTCTTTTCATATTTTCAGGTCTTTATTTAATTGTTTGGAGTAAGCCTGAAAAAGGTTACTTTCTAAACAAGACCAGAAAGTGAAGCCCACGTGCATCAGTATTGTCAAGCAAGTTTACAGAAATAAACCCCAAAGTTTTTTAAGACTTAGTAACTGTATATGTCACATGTTTAATGAGATGTCACCAGACTGACAACTTTACACCCTTGGCCACCCCATAACAGGATCTTTAACCTGTCTTGCTTCTTTACACTGTCTCTTCTCTTAAACAAACCTTTAGGTTCCACTAAAAAAACACTGTTCCTTTGTGTGAGAGTGAGCTGTACTTCTACTAAATATTTCTGGGTTTCTTTATCAAATAAGGAGAAAACTGCAATGAATGTCGACCACAGCCATGTCTCCATTTTGCTGGGCAAGCTTCCTTGGTCAGAGACATTTAGAAAAGATTGCAGCTCCCTCCAAGATCAGAGGTAGCAGGGCGTTTTGAAGGGCAGCACATGTGGCTCCAAATTAGAGACTGTGTGCTCTCTCTATTTTCACTTCATCCTGTAGGCCGTCGTGCAGATGGAGGCAGGGTATTGTGTTTGTGAGATCAGTATGAGAATGAGAGAGTAAAAACAGCAGAGCAGTCAGTTAATGTGTTTTCTTTTATCTGTGAAATGGAACCGGTTCACAGTCAGGATTGTCACAGCGCTGTGTGGTTCATTTTTTTTGTCCAAATCCATCTCCAATAAAAAGTCCGGAGAACACCTTCTTTCTTTTCTGTTTTCTCTCTCGCCTCTGTACCTCCCCTCTTTTACTGAATCTTTCCCACATGAACCCTGTAAAAAAACTCTATCATGTTTCACCCCGACGTCCAAAGATATATCGTGGACACTACTGCAGGGGTTTTAGTTTATTTTTGGACAGAGGGAGTTTGGAGATTAATGTGTCACATTTGAAACAGAGATGTTGTGGAAGCTAAAGTAACCAGTGGTTTGACCCCAGGGCTGGGCTTAGGTTTGAACGTTTTGTGTCAGGGTGTAACGTTTGGGGGGGATGCAATGCAAGCATAGACGAGTCAGGTAGATCACACCTTAGGCTTTCCCAGGGACTTTTTACAGTGGCAGGACTGTATTATGTATCAGTCAATGCCAAGGGTAGAAGTTAAGCTGTGATTCTGAATGAACAATATTAACATTGTATCTTGACCTAATTTGTTCTTGTAACCGATCATATGAAATGACCTGTACCTTTTTATAACCTTTAACTTACTCTTTTCTAGTGAGAAATAATATCATTCTTTTAGGTTGTTCCATGACATCCCTCCTGGGTCAACATCCAGATGTGGACTGAAGTATCAATGTTTTTTTTCTTGGTTAAAACCGACCAATTCTGGGGTCTTTGGAATATTCGTCCACACTAAGAACACTGCAACAGTACAAGTAATTAAAAAGCTGGAGATTTAAAAAATGTGTAATACTGGAAAATCAAAAACAAAAAGCTGGTTATTGTCTCCTTCCGTTAGACTTCTCACAATTCATCGACAGCAAGAAATCAGAGGTAATTAAACGGCTCTACCTTAATACCACTCCTGGTTGTGTCAGATTATCTACATTGTGCATTTTGTCAAATCATTCATAGAAAGTTTAATGGTGACTATCATTTTTAGTTTAATGCAAATCTCATTTCCGCAGTGGGGCATGATTCACATCTGTAGATGCTCTCAGTAAGTATCACAGTCATAATGATTAACAAGTCTCAGATGATACAGATCGATATACATGTTATGAGTCTGCATGCACAAGTTTAAAACTGTTTAAATGCACTGGGCCAATTTCATGTATGTAAGTAGACTGGAAAACTTCATTAACTACCGAACAAAAACAATAACCACAAAAAAACTGTTCAGTTGGCTCCCAGTGTGCCTTGTCAGCTTTCTCTTAAGATTTTTGTGATTTGTTTGAAAAAAAAAAGAAAAGAAAAATCTCCATATTATTGAATATATTTTACCAATATATGTCCTCTTGATAATCTGGGAAAAACTCTTTTTTAAAAGCATCTGCTGTGGACTACAGGCAGAACAATTACCACACATGTTATTTTCCAGTGAAGTCACACCTGTTTAATTAAGCAGACTGTGACCAGCCGTTCACCTTTTGGGGAAAAATGAGTCCTAACAGGATGTTATGTAGATCATCATGTCCTCATTTTTGAAAATGAACTAAGTTTTGCCATACAAAAGGCCCGTCCGCTGCATGCATCCCTTGATTAATTACTCACTTCTAATGGTTTATTACAGTGCAATACAATACAAACGAATGCAAAGTATTCATTTGTCCACGCCAGTCTTTGTGGTCTACCAAGTCTCCGATTAAAGGCTCCCCACAAACACATTTATCTGCAATCATGACATTATGAGTGGACTTTTCTGACACTTCACGCAGCGTTTTGTATAAATCACTCTGACCCCCAGAGCACACCTCCTTCCCTTGCTTTCTCCTGACATCCACACAGCTGGAGTCCTGAGTGGACAAAAGGACAATGATTGAGTGACTACATGACCCAGGCGCCGTCCCTTGTTATTTCTAGGACAGTGAATACTGCACAGTAACCCCCAGTGTGCACCCCCCCACAGCCCACTTTCAACCATAACTCATTTGGCCCCAGATTCACCAGATGACTCCAGATTATGGATCGCAACCAGAAATGTCTCTTGTTTTAAATATTGACTTTATTTATGAACTAAATTACTCGCCACTTAAAGCCCTACACCAAAATCAACAGGTATTGCTGGCCAAACCCTAACACCTTGTCAACCTTCCCTCTCCCCCCCCAACACCCTTCACCACCCACTCAGTCTTACTCAGACTCGAGACCCACCACTTGCTCATTGATGAAAGAGGCCCTCCTCCAGCAATCAAATGAGCTGGAAGGACATCAAGCAGTCGGGCTCGTCCTGCCTCTGTGCACTTCAGCCGGGCCAACGCTTGGGTCTCACCCACCCGCCTGCATCGCCGTCGTCCAAGCTTCTACAGCTCCATTCTCTGGGCCCATAAAGGGGGAGGTTAATGAAGCATGGGGAGGGAATTACACTAACGCTAACCGGCAGATGTCCCATATTGTGCTCCGCTACAATACACAATATGGCTGCCTCTGGTCCATTAGCATTAGAAAGGGAGGCACACTCAGAAAGCTATGTTTTGACTGCATCGTGCAGAGGGCCTGACTACTTTCATTCCTGCGCCTTTGGCTTTTTCAGGGTCAGACCTGCTGCCTTTTTGTGCAATTTCACTTCTTTGTGGCCATTTGTGTTTTGCTGGTTTTGGGTGATGTCCTGACAGAGTTGCGTTTGGAGCAACACAGTGTTTGTCGCTCTGTTGCACTTTATGTGGATAACTAAAAAAATTAACTTGTTTTGCTGCATGCATGTCACCCAACACTATCATTAGCCTGTGTCTTAGGCATTAGGTCAACTTATTTAACAGCTAGGATGGCTCTGAGGTCAGTGGGCTACAATTATGTTTGTGTTTTGTTTAAAATTCACACTTCTGATGTAATCGGTAAACCCTCAGAAATGATGTTGAAAGGCAACACAGTGTAATGGCTATTTAAAGCAGAGAGGAACTAATAGGAGGAGGGGGCATGCTATTGTGTTAACTTCACGCACACATTCACAGAGAAAACAACCAACTGCCAGCCTGTGTGTCCTGTGGTCCTGCCTGTCTGCTGCCCCCTGTCCTGACTGGATGAAGATGTAGAAGGTTTATTCATCCTGCCTGCCTTTGCTCAGCCTACACACACACACACACACGCACGCACATGTACACCTACAAGTTTCGTCACATCCATACAAACCCAGGGGGTACATTTCACTTGCATCCCTCCTCATCTCTGCAGTACTGTGCGGGCCGCCCTGTCTCCTCCCACTGCGGCCAGTAGTGCAGCCCGCCCTACGCCGTTAGCTAATGTTTTCTGCTTGAGTGTGCCGACCCCTTTGACTCACTCACCAGCTGGTCAGCCAGTGAATAGAGCTGTGGGCTCAGGTCCATGTCACTTGTGAGGTCTTGGCGCAGTGTTTTGGGGTATGTGTGTTTAAGCAGTCACGGTATTTTACCACTGTGTTCCTCTTATCTTGACTTGGATTTATTCATAAATAATAGCACCAGATGTTTACATGTCTAGTTTGTCTAGTACCGTACTATCATTTGAAATCCACCTGGCCTCGGCACTTTGTCTTTGTGATAACGTATTTGTTTACAGGTGCAGGACCTGTTTGAGTGTTACAGTTTGAAATGAACAAGCCTGAGCAGGTCTTTACATACTTCAACGCTGCTCCCAGCAGGTTACATTTGTTAGTGTGGATGCGGCACCTTCTGTTACTTCTGTGGTC